ATATAGATAATATAGAAACGAGATTACAAGGGAAGTACAGCTAGCTTGGACAGCGGTCTTACATAAGAGCCCTTATTTGTCTTAACAGTGGCTGAACGCGCCACACCGTCGGATCCTAGATGGACGTCTTCAATTCTACCGGTGGTCCATTGCAGAGGAGCTGAACCTTGTTGTTTGATTAAAACCAACCGACCAGGCTGCAGTTGATGGCCCTTAGGTTCCTTCCATTTATGTCTCTCTTGCAAGGAGTTGAGGTATTCGCTGCTTCATCTTCGCCAGAAGTGCTGGCGCTGCTGCTCAATCAGTTGCCATCGCAAGAGTAAATTAGTATTTACATCTGTTAAATCCCGGCTGGGAAACCCATTTAGTGGCGAGCCGATTAGGAAGTGCCCTGGGCACAAATAAGACAAATCATTAGTGTCGGAACTCAATGGAACGAGGGGTCGCGAATTTAATATGACTTCTATTTCGCAGAGAATCGTTTGAAGTTCTTCGAAGGTTGGATTTGTCGCGCCTACAACACGAGTGAGATGGAATTTGGCCGACTTAACTGCAGCTTCCCAAAGGCCGCCAAAGTGGGGAGCATTGGGTGGTATGAATACCCATGTAAATTACTGGTCGCATAAAAAATCGGTTATGGATTTCTGGGCTTGATCGGTTCTAAGAAAATCATACAGCTGTTTAATGTTTCCTTGCGCTCCTACAAAGGTAGTTGCATTGTCCGAGTACATTCGCTGAGGTTTTCCGCGACGCGAGATAAGCCTTTTAAGCGCCGCGATAAACGCATTAGTGGTAAGATCGCTGACGAGTTCCAAGTGCACGGCCTTGGTGGCAAAGCACACAAAAACGGCTATGTAAGCCTTATGGATTCGTGAATTACGTCGTCTACCTTCCTTTACATTTACAGGGCCAGCGTAGTCGATGCCACAGTGCGAGAACGGACGCGAACAGTTAACTCTCGGGGTCGGCAGCGAGCCCATTAATGCCTCGGAGAAAATTGGCTTGGCCTTGAAGCAAATCATGCAATCCCTTATAATCTTACGAGTTATTGACTGCAACGAGAGAGGCCAAAATCGCTGTCGGACTGCAGCCATGGTGGCCTGCAACCCAGAATGCACATTGTGCAGGTGCTCGAATTCGATTATCCGTCTAGACAAGACATGGTTCCGGGGCAAAAGGATCTGATGGCACGCATCGAAAGACAAGGCTGAATTTTTTATTCTCCCGCCAACTCTAATTAATTTGTCGTCGCCCATGAAGGGGGACAGAGAAAGCAGAATGCTAGCGCTGTTTACCTCACTTCGATTGCTCAAGGCGTCGTACTCACTTGCAAACTCTCTGGCTTGCACAACCCTGCACATGACATGTAGCGAGTTTGAAATTTCCTCAGCGGATATTGCTAGAGTTGAAAACCTTGAACGCAAGGAAGTAAAGATTCTGAGGCAGTAGGCTAGGATTCGACACGCCTTGTTGAGATTGGAGAATTTATTTAGCAAATCGCCAACAATGTTGCGATCGGTCAATGTAACCGCGACGGAAACTCGTTTCTGCTCAGGAAGCTCATCTTGGTTAATGTTGAATTCACCGCCTGGCCATTCACACTCGGGTTTTGAGAGAAATGATGGACCGTGCCACCATAAGGAGGAATCTATTAGCTCATTGGGAAGCAAGCCCCGCGAAAGTATGTCAGCCGGATTGTTGCGCGATGTTACATGACGCCAATTTTCCGGATCGGTGAGGCGTTGGATCTCTCCTACACGGTTTGCCACAAATACTGTCCATCTGCGAGACGATGAGATTATCCAACTCAAGGTTATGGTGGAATCTGACCATAGGAATACCCTAACGCCCGCCAAATCAAGGGACGATTTGAGTTTGTCGAATAATTGCGCTAACAGCAATGCGGCTGACAGTTCCAAGCGCGGTAAAGATACCGTCTTAAGAGGGGCAACCCGTGACTTAGAGCAAAGTAGATTTAGTTGATAGTCTTGACCAGCGACCTTAGAGCGAATGTATATGCAGGCGC